TAGCAACTTAACTTTGAGATTATATATTTTTAATCCATCATCAAAGCTTGCAAACTTGTTTTATTTGCTAGAGCTTTAAGTGTCATGAAGCAGTACCCTTTATTTTATTTACGATGTTAATTTTAAGCTCCCACCTCCCTCACGTTCTTAAATTAATTCATACAAATCCCTGATTAATAATAAAAGGACTTGCCATCAGTATTTAGAGCCCAGCCTGAGTTGTCATGGCTGAAAGGGCAGAAATCTGCTTGGAGCAATGAGAGAACCCAACTGAATTCTGGGCGTCTCAGTCTATGAATGTGTAAGCACTTCATCTGTTCATGGAAACACAAGTGTTCTGGCAGACTTGGGGGAAAGGCAGCTGCATGGGTAACAAACTAGAAGACCTGGGAAACCGTACTATATCAAAGTCACTAAATGACAGAAGCAAGATATTTTACAAGTGTTACTTTTATTTTCACACAAAAATGGTGTTGTTTAGTGTAAGCTATTTGAGTTCTAGACATTTATTTTATCCCTATCACTGCTGCCCAATGATCCTTGCAGAGGTCACAGGTGGATTTGACTATTTTATAAAAGAAATTGTTGCAAATCAGAGCACAACAGTAGCAGGGTTGACTGGAAACTGATTATACTTCTTAAATCCAGTGGTGGAAAGAATACTCTCTCAGACCTGCATTTCCACTTAGCAGTTATATGTATTCGAACAAGTAATGTGTACATCTCTGAAATAGTTCCTGTCTGTGAAATAAGGATAACATCTACCTTACAGGGCTGTTGTAAAGACAACACGGTAATAAGTGAAAGTACCTTACAGAGTTGTAAATGTGGGGAAAGTACTCTGTAAACTATAACCCACACTGTATAAAATAGTATTATTTGAAAGATGGAGAATTCTAACAGGGTTAATATAGTACATACACAATCATTTCCAGTGAAAAAGTGACCGTGAAAAGTTAAGTGGGCTTTTCGTTTCCGGTTCCATATATAAGGAGCTAGGAAGTTGCCACTCCATCCTAACAAACAAACAAAAAAGCTGAAGAGACTGAAAAAATCAACAATTCTTAGATCCATAAGAAAGGGAAAGACACAGGGCAAACCACTGCCCCTGAGACTAGAGAGACAGATGAATTCGACATCCTGGAGCAGAGCCTCACAAGTGGAAACCACCTGGGGAACCAGAGCCAGGTAAGAAAACCTGACTGTAATTAATGAATTGCTGGAGGCACAGTGCAGACAACTCTGAGGGTTAAAAACTCCAAGGGCATCTACTCAACCCCTCTATCCGCACCCCCCCCAATAGTGTGAGATTTACTTCTAGGAGCTTGACGAGGTTCCCACAATAAATGTCAGAGAAACATTCCCTCATGCTTCTGGCAGGGGGAAGGGAAATTAACCATTCTGAAATATGCCAAAGCTCTATTGTTCTCAAAACCGCCTGCCTTCAGGGGAAACTGGTTAACCAGCACCTAACCTGTTGGGGTATTATCAGAGCCTAACTGACCTGGGGGTTAGGAAAATACCCAACTCCAGTCCACTCCAGCCATTCTGTCCCAACTAAAGGGGGAGGAAAAAAAAAAGAGAAACATTTGTGAGATTCCCAGTCCAGAGGCATAGGCTCACTACAAAACTGAGACCGAGCCATAGGACCATAGAACACTTTCTCTCCCCAACACTTCACCACCACATTACTAAGGGCCTGTTTATAGCAGTTCCTTTTATCTGATATATCAAGTCCAGCTATCAGTAAAAATTACAAGACAAACCAAAAGGCAAAAAATCCACAATCTGAAGAAACAGAGTAAGCATCAGAATGAAACAGGGCAGAGATGTTGGAATTATCAGGTTGGGAATTTAAAACAACTATGATTAATATGCTAAGGGCTCTAATGAATAAAGCAGACACCATGCAAGAACAGACAGACAATGTAAGCAGAGAAATGGAAATCCTAGTAACCAAAAAGAAATGATAGAGATAAAAAAACCACTGTAACAGAAAGTTTAAAAATGCCTGTGATGGGCTTATTAGTATACCAGACATGGCTGAAGAAAGAATCTCTGAGATAGAAGATATATCAATAGAATCCTCGAAAGCTGAAAAGTGAAGAGAACAAAGACCGGGGGAAAAAAAAAAAGAAAACCCAGAACAGAATATCCAAGGGCTACGGGACAAATACAAAAGATACAATGTATGCATAATGGGGATACCAGAAGGAGAAGAAACAGAGAAAGGAACAGATGAATACCTGAAACAATGACTGAATTTCCTCAAATTAATGCTAGACACCAAGCCACATATCCAGGAAGCTCAGAGAACACCAAGCAAAATAAATGCTTCAAAAACTACACTAGGCATATCATTTTCAAATTACAGAAAATCAAAGATAGAGAAAAACCCTGAAAGAAGCCAGAGGAAAAAAAACATATTGCTTATAGAGAAACAAAGATAAGAATTACATCAGACTTCTCCTCAGAAACCATGCAAGTGAGAAGAGAGTGGAGTGACATATTTAAACTGTTGAGGAAAAACCCCTGCTAACCTAGAACTCTGTATCCTGAGAAATTATCCTTCAAAAGTGAAGGAGAAGTAAAGACTTCCTCAAACAAATATTGAGGAAATCTGTTGCCAATACACCTCCCTTGCAAGAAATGTTAAAAGAAATTCTTTAGAGAGAAGGAAAATAATGTAGGTCAGAAGCTGATCTACATAACGAAAGAAGGAGCATCAAAGCAGGAATAGTGAAGGTACAATAAAAACTTTTATTTTTCTTACTTTTAATTGATCTAAGATAACAGTTTGTTCAAAATAATAGCAACAATGTATTTGATTATACATGCTTATGTATCATATATATCTTATGTGTGTACTAATATACAAACATGCATATATAGTATGCATATATACATGCTTATGTATGCTTTTATGTAAGTGAAATGAGTGACAGCAATGATACAAGGGACAGGAGGGAGGAATTAGGAATATTTTGTTTTTATAAGGCACTCATGCTACCCATGATAGTATCATGTTATTTGAAAATGGACTTAGATTAGTTATAAATGTATATTGCAAACTCTAGGACAACCACTATAAAAGGTCAAAAAAAGCATAACTGATATGCTAAGAAAGGAAAGAAAATGGAATCATATTAAATGCTCAATTAAAACCACAAAAGGCAGGAAAAGAGTGGAAGACAAAAACAGGAACAAAGAATAAGGGCAACATATAGAAAACAGTAACAAATATGGTAAATATTAATCCAACTATATCAGTAATCACTTTGAATGTCAATGGCCTAACTGTACCAATTAAAAGACAGATTGTCAGAGTGGATCAAAAACACAACCCAACAATATGCTGTCTCTAAGAAACCTACTTGAAATATATAGGCACATATAGATTAAAAGTAAATGGACAGACAAAAAAATACCATGCTAACACACAACAGAAAAACAGGATTAGCTATATTAATTTCAGTCAGAGCAAACTTCAAAGTAAGTAAAGTTATGAGGGATAAAGAAGGGTATTACATAATGATAAAGAGGTCAATTCTCCAAGAAGATGTAACTATTTTTAACGTGTATGTACCTAACAAAAGAGCATCATTCATGGATGGGAGGAATACAAGATGGCACAGCCATTTTGGAAGACAATTTGGTGGTTTCTTAATAAACTAAACATACTCTTACCATATCATCTACAAATTGTACTCTTTGTTATTTATTTACCCAAAGGAACTGAAAACTTACATCTACACAAAACGTGCCCATGGATGTTTAGAGCAGCTTTATTCATAATTGCCAAAACTCAGAGGCAACCAAGAAAAGTCCTCAGGAGGTGAATGGATAAATAAACTGTGGTACGTCTAGACAATGGAATATTATTCGGTGCTGAAAGGAAACGAGCTCTCAAGCCATCAGATATGGAGGAAACTCAAATGCATATTACTAAGTGAAAGAAGCCAATCTGAAAAGACTACATACTATGCAATTCCAACTATATGGCCCTATATGGCCTTCTGGAAAAGGCAAAACTATGGAGACAGCCAAAAGATCAGTGGTTGCCAGGGGGGTGGGGGATATTAATATTCAGAGCACATAGGATTTTTAGGGCAGTGAAGAGTCTGTATGATACTGTAATGATGAATATTTCATTATACATTTGTCCAAATACATAGAATATACAACACCAAGAGGAACCCTAAAGTAAATTATGGACTTTGGATGATAATGATATATCAATGTAGGTTCATCCTTGGTTTTAAAAAAAAAAAGTACCATGTTAATAATGTTGGGTCATATGGGAAATCTCTGTACCTTCCTCTTCATTATATCATCATCCTTCATTCATATTATTCACTAAGGATAATCAAGACAGCTAACATTTGAGTGCTTGGCATGTGTGTTTCAGGTACTGCTTGAGTGCCTTATATATAATACTCAAAACAATTCTGACACAGGTACTATTATTATTCCCATTGTACACATTAGGAAACTGAGACAGAACAAACTTGACAAAGGTCATATAGCTAGGAAGTGACAGTGCTAGCACTCAGACCCAGGTAGTCCAGCTCATCACCATTATACTATGCTGCTTCTGCTTATTCATTCACTCATAATTCATCAAATCTTTATTGAGCATATGGAATACACCAAGAGCTCTGATAGAAACATTTTCAACAAGGAATATCTCAAAACATTTACCCAGGAAGCTACTAAAGGAAATGCTCCTTCAAAACCAGGAAATAAATAAAAGAGGACGCTAGTGGAGGAGACACTCCATCAAAACACAGAAGTAAACGATAAAAGATGAAGACCTGGGATCCACAAAATAGAAAAATCCAGGAAAAAGGGGAAGAGAATTCCAAAGACAGTGGTAAAGCATAATCCCAGAATGACATCTATGCGAGAGGCCTAGAGAACAACCAGTCCAGTTTAGAGATGAAGAAGGAAGGAGGGTTCCAGAGGAATATTGCTAAAAAAAAAACCATGGGATTGATTACCTGATGCGCTTGACTGTACAGAGAAGACCTCTACTGGGCAATTTGAGGAAAGAATTGCAATAGGAACACAGAAGAACAAGAAAAAAAAAAAAGGCCATTATTAACCTTAAGAAAAACAAAATGTTGTACCATGCTATGTAGATTGCATTATTCATAATTATATAATTTATTCATTCCCTTTCCACCCTTGCCTTGCTTCCCTGCAATCAAAGCAGACTTCCTACTATAGTGACCTGGGGCTTGGCCTTGTGACTTGTTTTAGACAAAGGAATGTGAGTAGATGTGACACATGCTACATCCAAGGAAAGCTTTAAATGTATTTGTGGGGTCTGGTTCTGTCTGCCTTTACGTCTGCCCCATATAGGGTCTATCTATCCATTGGGATTAGATCTCAGAATGAGAAGACATATGAAATCAAGATGAACTGAGCACAAACAAGGCTAGTAGAAGCCAGCAGAGTCTCACCTGGTTCCAAGGCTTTTGAAATATGAGCAAGAAATAAATGTTGTTAGCCACTGAAATTTGGGGTTTTGTTTGTTTTGTTTTTACTACAGCAAAAGCTGACTAATACACATAGTACAGTCCATAGCTCAGCAACAAACAATATTTACATAGTCATAATAATATAGTTACATTATAATCATAATTGACTATATTACATTAATTATAGTATAATTTGTAATAATAATAAAAACACGGATATTATAATAGAGATGCAATCAGAAAACTGACACTAAAAATTGTGATATAACTATGTTAAGAGGGTGGGGAGAGAGAGGGGGAAGATGAGTAAAAGAGCTAAATCCTAATATAACATAGAAGAAAATCAATAATGTTTAGACTTGCAAAATCAAGAGATACAAGTATATTATTTAGAATTATGTAGGTAAATTGCAAAAGAAACAACTAAAAGCACTGAAAGTTTTTGCCTCAAGGGAGCTAAAATCAAATGAGAAGGATGCAGATAAGGGAGTACATTTTTTGTTTTAAGACTTATAGTACTATTTGATTTCCTTTGAACTATCTACATGTATTAACTTCATAAAAATCTTAACTCATGAGCACAAACATTAAAAACGACAATAAAATCAAGAGAAGCAATCGTGCCTGACTGACTAAAATAAAATGTATTCTGATCCTGAAAGGCAAAAAAAAACCTAAGTGGGAATCAGAAGAGCCGGTGTTACTGTTTCACAATCTGGCTTCCACTTTTCTCTAGCGACATCTTTCTTGACTCCTTTCATTATTTATAGGAGAACAAACTTTACTGTAGAATTACAGTCTTACATTTTCAGTTCCAGATGTCACTGAAAATATACTATAGGAAAGATGCTGCCTAAAAGTGAGATAATATTAAGGGCTAACCTGTACAGAGAGCCCTCAATTAATACAGAAGTTGATCATCTACTCTACGCATCATCTACGATCACTGCATGTCCTCTTCCTAACAATTGCCACCTTCTGGTCATTTTGATCACCTTCACTGCATTATCAAAGAATGAGAAAAATGATTAAAAGTGATTAGTAAATTTTGCTCCTTTTTAAACAACTATAATTCAGGGACAGTTTAAGCTCAATATGTGAACAGTTTTATTCACAAAATAAATAAATTAATAAGTAATATATTTTACAAAATAATTTAGTATAGGATCCCTTTAAATAGCGGGCCTGCATTTAAATGATTGGATTTACCAAAATTTTGACAGTTTTCTAGAAATACAGTTACTGGGCAAAGGACAATATACTTGTTTCAGGTGTAATGACCGAAGATACTAAAGCTATTTATAAATATTTTAATATTACCTATAGATTTCACATAAATATGTTAATAGCCTCTCCCTTTAACATGAACAAATATAAGTTATTTTCCTGCTGCAAGTTGCAGCTAGTAACTTCTATAATGGACAGAAATATGATGGATACAGATACAGAAAGTATCTTAACTGGGTGACACCATCTCATTTAGATATTCTGATATACTCTTAACCATAATGTGGTTTGAGTTGTAGTTCAGAGGCCTGCTGTGTAGAAAAAAAGCACTGGGGCAGAACAACAAAGCATAAGAAAATAATTAACAGGACATGTTTTTCATACCTCTTCATCTTTCATATTCACATCCACGTTTTTTGATTTGAAGACTTTGGTTATATGGTCAACGTTGTTTTCTCTGCAGTAATCAAATATGTTTTTGTCTTCTTCCCTAATTAGAGTAAAAAAAAAAATAGTGTTTGTCTTACTAGGTAATACATAAAAGTTACATATTTTTAATACAACCTATTTGCTGCAAACATTAATGGAATCTGTTTTTATAAAGAATTTTACATGAACAATACTGGATTTTCAGTAAGACGTAATACATCCAATCTCTGAAAAGACTAAAGTTCCTAGCAACTATAATTATACAGAAGAGCTTCATCTGCTTTAACAAGTTACACTAGTACACTAATATAACATCTTGAGTAGATTTTCTCAGTGCTCTTTTTCTCCCCAGTTACTTTTACACACTGACAGGCACATATATCCTCTGACTCAGAATTTTCAATTGTAGCACTGCAGTGAGAAGGTCATTTACTGTTGCCTGTATAGAGGTAGCAAAAGATCAGGACATAGCTTACTACTTCTCTTACAGAGTAACAGAATGATAAGTTGGTTGCTATCCAAGTTTTTAAGAAATTACACACACAACACGAACATATATACACACACACCAAAGTAATTTTCTTAAGGGAAAGATAATTAGAGCATCACAAAATTCAGAAGTCCTTCATGAGATAATAAAGACTGGGAAGCACAGTATGTACTCAGCACTATTCTAAGCATATCAATGTACTAATTCACTTAATCTTATCCAACAGCTGCTTCACTTCACAGATAAAGAAATAGGTAAGGAGAGGTTATATGACCTGTCAAATGGCATCACATTTATCAAGGGTAGAATAAGAGCTAGAACTTACTCAGATCAACTGATTTTGCATATAGTCCATTTTTCTATTATATCAAGCTACATCTCAATTAGTAAGCTGTAGTCTCTTCCAGAATCTAAAGCAGAAGTTCTTAACATGAGGTCTATGAGTTCTCTAAAATAGTATACAGAATTATCTGTGCAGATGCATAACGCATTTTTCTGACTGTGTTGGCAGTGGGTAGGTGGGGAAGGGGGAGGTAGCTTCAGTGAGGTTCTCAAAAGGATCTATGATTCCCAAAAGATCAGTAATTTGGAATATTAATAATGAAACTATTCTACATTTTCTAAACAATACAATTTGAGTTTCAAACATTATAACTAGTATGTTCTACAACCTGTAAGGCCACAGCTTCCATTCATCAGAAAAAAAGCATCTGACCATAGGAGTCCTTCTATCTTAAAAGCCAATACCTTATACCCTATAAAAAGTTATTTCTAGGGGGCTTCTCTGGTGGCACAGTGGTTGAGAGTCCGCCTGCCGATGCAGGGGACACGAGTTCGTGCCCCGGTCCGGGAAGATCCCACATGCCGTGGAGCGGCTGGGCCGGTGAGCCATGGCCGCTGACCCTGCACGTCCGGAGCCTGTGCTCCTCAATGGGAGAGGCCACAATAGTGAGAGGCCCGCGTACCACAAAAAAAAAAAAAGTTATTTCTAGTCAGAGGTAATTAACTTAAAACACACTACTTTGGCATTAACAGTCTAAGCCTTCCTTACACATGTCATGTATTTAATTGAGCACCTACTACATGCAAGGCACTGGACAAGATTCTGGTGATAAGAGATGATAAGGATAAGCAAGAAACTTTGCATTCAATACATGTACAGTATGGTTGAGATGATAAAAATCTATATACCATTAACATAAGGTAAAATTGGATCTTTAAAAAGGCCTATCAGAAAACAGAGGAGAAACAGCCTGCTTCAAGCTGGAGAAAATGAGCTACGTTTCCAGGAAAAAAATCATGTTTTAAAAAAAAAATAGGGTCTCTTGAAAATGTTCATTTGCAAAAGAGAAAATGCTTTTCCAGATCACTTATTGTGGAAGAAAATAGTGACGTCTGAGGCCAAAACCCCTGAAAGGAGAAGTCTCATTTTTTAAATTAAGGCTGCATATAATAGTATTTTAGCTATTATTTAACTATCACAAAAAATACTTTCTATGAAAAAGTGCATTCAGCATTCTGACTTGGGAAAGAGAGGGACCTATTTTCCTTCAATACAATAACAGAGACCCCTCTAATTCAAGAGGCAGAAACTTCAACTGTGAGAGAAAGTATTGCATCATTTTAAGTCATAATAAAAAATACACTACTCACCAATTGTTCTGGATTTGAAAATAATGGGGAGTTGGTGGTGGGACACAGAAAGGAAAGTATGGAGGATCCTTGGGATGTAGGTTACCCACACCCAGTAAAATGCAAGAATAATTCAGAGATGGGAGGACCTTCTGTGTGGTCCTTTTTCCTTAATTCCAAATGTGCATGTACACTTATGCCATAAGCAATATTATTTAAAATGTTTATACTGCTTAATATATTCTCAATGTTTCTTATATGTATCATTTATATCAATTATTTTGTTTTGGTATGTGAATTTTTTTGAAGTAGGGGCACTTCTTCATCTGTATACCTGCTTATCAAATGCAGTTTATCATTGCTAAGTATGTTAGGCACACAGAGGTATTTATAAAATACTTCAGGGTAGAGTACACAATGTAAATTAAATATAAAATGGGAAAGTCAAAAAAGTCACCACACCTGGAGGGGGGAGACAGGGAGGGTGGGAGGGAGGGAGACACAAGCGGGAAGAGATATGGGAACATATGTATAACTGATTCACTTTGTTATAATGCAGAAACTAACACACCATTGTAAAGCAATTATACTCCAATAAAGATGTTAAAAAAAAAAGTCACCACAAATGTGCTACAAAGCTGTGTGACTAATATTAAAAAATATTAAGTGATACTCTTGGGCTTAGTTTTTAAATATAGTTATCTATCCCCACTTCAAGTTTTGACTATCTTACTTGCCAGCAACCAAGCTGTCTTTATACAATATCACCACCTAGTGGCCAAAATGGAGAAACATCTGGAGTAACGTCTTTCTCTTATCTCCTTTCTTGCCCCCAACAAGATTATGTACAATATACAAATCAAATTCTGTCTTTTTCCCTCTGTATTTTCCAGTTAATACAGTCTTCCACAGGCAATTTTTCTCTGTATATCTATACTTAAACGAAACAACAGGTGCAAACAAATTCAACCATTACCAAATACAGTAGAGACTTAATAAATGTTAGTGCCCTTCTACATCTTCTCACTTTATCTTCCCTTCTCTTTTGATTCTTAGCCGGTTATCTTTTTCCTTCTCTCTGATAAATGTAAGTGACAAAATTATCATATCCACTCTCTACAGATGAGTATGAATTATTTTCATGATGCTACCTATCCTCAAGAATGTCCCATATTATCACAGCACAGGACTCTCTTTAGATTACTCCAAATTTCCTAAAATTGACAGAAAATACATTTATCTGAATGAAAAAAACCACTGCCTTTCTTTGAAATTCTTTTGAAATATAAGGGCACACACTTGTGGAAGAGAGGGATGGTGTTTAAGTATAGCTGTCTTTCATCAGAATCACGGGAAGAAGAGATTCTTGCCCACTCCTAAAAATGCTATCTGCATCACTTTCTACAAAGACTGCATTTTCCTGTCAAAAGACTATTTCAGAGAGTTAGCCCTCTAAAGATGGCAAGCCATCTAAAGTCCATTTAACTACTTTTCATCTACCTCACAGAATTAAAAAACACATTTATGGGGCTAGCTCAGAAATCTAACTATTTAATAGACACATTCAGTAAATACTTCAATTCAATTCATGTATTTATCAAGCAACTGGCAATCAGATATAAAAACAGTATTCCAGTAAATAGACAAAGAAAAAGTATTTATTGAATGAATGAAAACACAAAGAAGGGTAAGCCAATACTTATACAAATATAAACAACTGCCACAAATTCCTCAAATCAAGGAATGTACACCTGTGGGCTCCTGGGGTACAGAAAGACCCAAAAGAATATGCAGGAAAGGAAAATTTTAAGAGAATCAATTTCAGCTAAACTTCTAAATAAACACATTCTTTCCTAAATTGATCTACTTGAAAGCGTTCCTGTGGTAAATATTTCATCACCATTCCCCTTTTCAACATTCCCCCTGCTCAACCATTCTCCTAGTTCATAAAGGCACACACCTCTCTCCATACTATGGTATACTTCTAGGAAACATAACCAAAAGACTTTACTAAGATTTAGCAAATGACTATTAATTAAATCTGTTACTCTTTTGCTTAAAAGTACTCTGTTTAATATACAGACCAGCCCCCCACAGTCAAAAATAACTGTTAATAGTTAATCCACCAATTAACTTTACAGTCAGCCCACGGTATCTGGGGGTTCTCCATCTGAGGATTCAATCAGCCATGGATTGTGTAGTACTGTAGCACATATTTCGTGAAAAAATGTAAGTGAACATGCGCAGGTCAAACTCATGTCATACAAGAGTCCACCGTGCTAGGAAAGGTTTGGGGAAAAAAAATTAATCCCAGGTTGTACTTCCCCAAGATATAAATTGTCCATGGTACCAAATAAAGGGACAATTTCCGTGAAAAACTGGTTTTGGGAAGCCCTCCTATAACTAAGGTTAGAGGATGGAAGAGGTGAAATAAAACAAAAAAGACTTGATGCTAGGACTTCCCTGGTGGCGCAGTGGTTAAGAACCCACCTGCCAATGCAGGGGACATGGGTTCAATCCCTGGTCCAGGAAGATCCCACATGCCATGGAGCAACTAAGCCTGTTCGCCACAAATACTGAGCCTGCACTATAGAGCCCATGAGCCACAACTACTGAAGCCCACGTGCCTAGAGCCCGTGTGCCACAACAAGAGAAGCCACTGCAATGAGAAGCCCGTGCACCACAATGAAGAGTAGCCCCCGCTCACCACAACTAGAGAAAGCACTGTGCAGCAATGAAGACCCAACGCAGCCAAAAATAAATTAAAAAAAAAAGACGATGCTGAACTCTGTCTCATTCTAATAAAATAATATTCATCTGTTAAATAAACTATTTTTAACATTAAGCCACATTTCCAATAAAATTTTAAGACACGTTTCCAATAAAATTCTACTTATGCTTAATAATTATTTAACAAAATGTATAATGAATGTTGATCA